CTGCAAGTACAGAAGGCATTATTATTACTCCAACTCATTATTACTGTATTATTGAATTTTGAACTGTTTTTGACGGAATTGCGGAAGTTATTTACAGACATTGTAAACAAAACAATATAACATTTGGCGAATCAGATCGTCATGGCCTTGATTTTAAAATATTATATTAGGAGTTGGAATTAATTCGTAGCGTTTTTAATGAAAGAATGTTATTTATTTCACATGAGCATTAAAAAATACATTAATGAAAGTACTTCCCATCACTTGTAAAACGCTACGAATTAATTCCAACACCTAATAAAATAAAATGATTTTAATTAGATGCTGGTATGGTCAAATACCAATCAACTTCTTTTCATTAAAAATGCTTACGAAATAAATTTTAGAATAGTGTTTGTTATGAAATTACAAGGCATTGCTAGAGAAGCCATAAATATCTTTGTGGACTTATGAACTTCGGCCAAGCTCGTCTGTGTACGAAAATGCTACGAAAAAAATTCATACCGTGGCAAGTGCAGCATTTGATATTTTGTGTAAAAAAGGTTGATGAAGAAAAAGAAAAGAAAATACTAAAAATGGAAAATCTTTATAAAATTTAAAAATGTCTGGCGATGAATCCTGGAAAATACGCTCCTCTTTATTATTTGGCGATACTAATAGGAAATTACATTGATATGATAATAAACCTCATTATAAAGATCATTTGATAGGTCTTGAAAGTCTTGATAGATTAAAATTTAATAATTCTCGATTAAAAAAACTTTTGCTTGAATTAAAAAAATTTGAGCGTTGCTATACGCGGTTAAAGAAAAGTTTCTTTAATTTGAACGTCATTGTTTGAAATCAAATAAATTTTTCTTTGGTTTGAACTTTATTTCCTGTAATTAAGTAAATTTTTATTTTCGTCAAATGCATTTTTACTTTAATTTTAAACAAAATCAACAAAAGAAACAGTTTTTAAATTGTTTAAAATTATTGAAACATTCACAAGACTTTTCAAGCATTCAAAACTTTTTAAGACATTTAAGATTGTATGATTTTAAATCGTATTCGAATTAATTCGAATTTTTCATGACATATTCAAACAATAATTCAAAGCATCTTGATACCCATCACTAGCTGTAAGTATTCGAAAATTATTCGTTATGTACATGGTGCGTCACCAAAATCCGGACAAATCGAACAATTCCTTGTCGTGGCAGCCTCAGAGAGCCTCTTTAATGTGTACGATTTGTATCGAAGGTCCTCCTCGGCAATTCGACGCATTGTTGGCTCGCTTACACCAACAATCGATTTTCGCAATGATTGCCTTGGGTCATCCGAAATCAGCGTTTGAGCCCTTTCAACGACTGCAGGGATCCTCGCGGTGCGTTCTTTCGAGTGACTCTTCCTCGCTGGCATACTGGAACTTCGTTGGACTGTTCTAAAGCCGTACATTTTGCCACAACGTCATAAACAGTGGATCTCGGGTATCTAAAGAACCGAATTATTTCCGTTGCTGAGCGCCCGGAGCGAAGGTCTTCGATGATCGCGGCTCTTCGATTATACTCCGCACTTGGTTTCAACATCGCGGCCATTTTGAGAATATGACTGTTTACTCGAAGCAGCCGGCTTTCTTGGACGCCAATAACAATCTCTGGCGGAGGCACAGTATAGCGGAAAATTTGAATTGAAATTTGTCCGGATTTTGGTGACGCACCCTGTATACCTAAAACTTTAAACGCGTTTTTATTGTAAGTACTTTTTTAAAATTGGCGTGTAAGATAACTCAAAAACTCATCCAATTGAATCCATCCTAGCACACATCTAGATAAATACTTTTCTCATAAATTGAACCTTCATTTATAATACTATAACTATATTTATAATACTGTAATTATATTGTTTAAATAAATTACTTTTATTACACAATTTACGAAAATTGTTCGTAAAAATCGATTTTTTTTTATGTGTCGCCATTTTTATAATTTGATATCATTCTCCTTAAAAATAAGTTCAATTAATAAACTATACAAAAAAGAAATCATTTTTATTTTTTTTTTATTTTAGATGAATACAAACAGCATTACATTGCACTCCAACAAGCGACTTCAACATCGACGCATCAAAATTAAATTATTATAAATATAAAATACATATTGTTTCTCTATCAAAAAAATATTTTTTAGTAGTTCAATATTATATTACAAAAATATATCTTGAAAATTTCGAAAGAATTTATCGTATACTCGTTACTAAATAGAAAAGGTATTGTAACAGATTACCGTTACTAGTTTCTGATTTTTTAAAAGTAACTAATTATGGTTATCGTTACTTAAGAAAATAACTTTTCGTTACTTTTCTGTTTTAAAATCGACGATTCCTTGTAAAATTCGTTACCGTTACCAAAAAAAAGTAACGCAGTTATTTTACCAGTAAAGTTATCAAAAAAGAAACTTGCAAGTAACTTTGGTTAAGTACAAATAACTTTGGCAAGTAGCTTAGAAATTAATTTTGTTACAAGTAACGAGTTACTCCTATTTCCTGGTTATAGTTGATGGCCCTTTTTCAAAACGCGCATTGAACATATGAATTAACGTTAATACATATACTATAGAATTTTAGATGGATATAATTCTACGTAATTGAATAATCTTCTGTATACTATATTTCTAATGTGATTTTTAGAATTGCTTCTGGCTAATGGAACATGTGATTTTAAAATATTGCAATTTTTGCACTTAACTTTTTAGTAAACTGAATTGTATTATGTTAAATTAGATTTTTTTGTAAGATGGAGATACTGATTTTGTTCTACTAGACATTTCTTTTTTTAGCCATAATAATAAAATAACTGCTTAACAATTCTCAATATTTGCAATTTCAGCATTATCAATTTACGTTAGATACTGAATTTTTTTTATATATATTTTATGTTGTGTGTGTGTGTGTGTGTGTGTGTGTGTGTGTGTGTGTGTGTGTGCGCGTGTGTGTGTGGTATTTTATTTGTGCTAAAAAAATTGTTTTATTGTGTTCAAAAAAATTAGGAAATCACTTGCAATCAATGCTACAAGGGAGCAAATTCAAAATTAGGTATTTTTGAGAAAAATAGCCGCAGAAAAATATTTGAAAATGTGTTTTAAAGTCTGAAGCGGAAACTTTCAAATGTTTCAAACCCCGTATCTCACTGCAGCACTGTTGAAAAAAATGTATCGAATTTAACATATATGTATATCATATGTCCCAAAAAGTCCATTCAAATTTTTGGGTTAATTTAACACAAAGTGAATGTATTAGAAGGTTACACAAGTATGTAAAAGAATAAATACGAAAGAAGATAATATTGACACTGATTGTAAACAAATCATGGAAGTATATTTTCTTCAATAAAATTAACATCTATTATATGTCAAATTAATGAATATTTTATTCATTCGTTTTATTGTTAGAATTTATGTTATAAAATACTTTACTTTTACGTTATTTATTTATTTAGTCACAAATTATGTCATTTTGAAACTAAGAAATATCAATTTAACACAAAATGTTTAAATAACCTAATTATATTTTATGTTAAATTAATACTTGCATATATTAAAAACTTCAATATAAATTGTTAACAAGAATATTAACGCTGTTAACGCGAATGTACTGTTTTCAACAAATACACAATGTTTTTTACTGTGAACAATTTTACTATAAATGGCACTAATTTAAAGCAAACCTTGAAAAATGAAAGAATAATACAAAAATAATGTATTTTAAAATGTAAATTCTAAGATAAATGAATAAAATCTGTATTAATTGACAATATATCATAAACGTTAATTATAAAAAAATATATTTCCACAGTTTGTTTACAAACTGTATCAGCATTATCTTTTTGTGATCATCTTTTTAACATATCTGTATTTCTTTAATATATTGATTTGATATTAAATGAATACAATTTGAGTTTACCGTTTGGGACATGTGAAATCTATTATATTCAACATAAATTTTGAAGAACGATTTTTTTTCACTAAATTATGATTTAAAGTGAGTATCTTTTTTCTAAGAACCTGTATCATCACGCTGGTATTATATTGTAACAATTTGAGTTTATTCTTATACTTTTGAAAGTTATCTTCTTGGCATTTCGAAAATATATTAAATATAAATGTAACGATTTAAAAATAAATTAACATAATGTCATGTTTATTTCGAGCTTTAATGAAATTAACTTTAAATTAATATAATTAACAAACGTTTCGATTTACAAAGTCTTCCTCAGTGCTACAACGCAGAAATACAATCTTAAATTAATGCACAAAGAATAACGGATACAATGAAAATTTAAAATCCATCAATGGTGAAGTGTCAAAATATAAAAAAATATAAAAAAATATAAAAAAAATTTCGAACATCAATAAGTATCCCGCCAGATGATAATAAGGTAGGAACATTTGGATACTTTGGTCAACAGTAGATTAATTATGTTTATCGATAAAGAATATATTTGCCAAATTCCTCGATTGAGATTGAGAATCCAGTTTGTCACAGACTTGTATCATACGATTTGAGAATTCTTTAGTTACGAGTATTTTATGATATTGATAATTTATATAAAATACTGTAAATACTAAATAAAATACTGTAAATACTAAATACTAAATTCTCAATCAAAGATTCAGTTAAGTACATTAAAGATACTGATTGCTCGTTTGAAAATTAACTTCGTAAATTTTCATTATATCCGTTCTTTGTGCATTAATTTAAGCTTATATTTCTGCATTGTAGCTGGGGAAAGCTTTGTAAGCCGAAATGTTTGTTAATTATTTTAATTATATTGTATTAATTATATTAACTTTGAGTAATTTAATTAAAGCTCGAAATAAGCCATGACAGTGTGTTAATTTTTAAGAAAATATGCGAGCATTTTTTACTCCATTTTAAAAATAAATTCTTTGAATAGATATTTATCTTTTATTTCATGCATATATTAATTGTTTTAAGTATCGAATAACGTTATTATGTTGCAGCGGATGACAGTGCACAGGGAGATGCGACAACATGCGGGAATATCTTGGTGATATTATCGTGGATTGTTGTAATATTGACAATGCCGTTCTCTCTCTTTGTTTGTTTCAAGGTAAGAGATCTGTTCAGAGAAAAAAAGACGACTCTTTTAAAAAAATTTTTTTAAATATCATTCTCATTTATATTATAAATTATTCGCTATTTGCCGATAGTTGTGGTAGCGAGCGTTTTAATGAGCAATGTTGTTCCAATGTAACTATAGTTACATGGAATTTATTCATAATGTTATTTTTATCGACAACACATGCAAATGTTCGTTTCCGCAATGCTTTTATTATTATATCGGAGCTCATTGAGTAGATATGTATCATTGCGCAGCTGTTATATGTAAGGTTGGGAAAGTTACTTTGCAAATAATTAGTTACAGTTCTTTATATTTGACGAGTCATTGGAGAAATAATAAAATTTATTGTGATTAAACTATGTGATAAAATAATCAATATTCAAACTTAATAAATTATAACTAAATTTTTAATAAATTTATTACAATAGAACGATTCGGAATCAAGAGATCTTCTTCCAATTCAGCGATAAAGTTGAAATTTTTATTTTATCAATATATAGATTAATAGAATTAACAGTAATAAGAAATATAACAGTTAAAATTGCTTGAAAATTTGTTGCAAAAGTAGATGATGTTGTATAATATACATACTGAGATTAATTTCTAATTAAAATGTTGAAATTCTGTTTTCAATGTGAACAATACATTAGTCCAATGTTGTGATGAATAGTCATCTACAATAAAGACTTGATGACTAATCGTAACACTGAACTAATTGTTCATATTGAAAACAGGATCTTAACATTTTAGAAGTCAATTTTAGTATGTATTATATTTACAATATCATATATATCTTTTGCAATAAGTTTTCAAACAATTTTAACTGTTATATTTATTATGACTATTAATTCTATTAAGCTATGTACCAATAAGAAAAAACTTCAACTTTATTGCTGAATTTGCTATGAATCTGTGGTTTCGAAATGTTCTATTGTAATAAATGTATTAAAGTTTAATTATAATTTCTTTATTAAGCTCAATTATTAATCATTATCATATAATTTGTTAGCTTTGCATAATACTTACGAGCAAATACGAGTTTATTGATGGTATTACAACGACGATTGTAACTAAATCTAGAATACATTACTTTGAGATTAAGGGGATGTTGAAGCGAAGGCTGAACTTAATAAAGGTCAATATTACAAGTTTTCATTTCCAATGTATAAGATGCTTACGCCCTCTGAGTTAATATGATCATGCAGGAAATTCAATCGATTAATTATCAATATTTTTTTTCCATTTCCTACATTACCATCTTAGCAGGAACGAAAACATGTATTAGGTTCCACAAATGTAAGATTTATTTTATTTTGAAAAATTGTCCAATTTTAGAATTGAGGAAAAAATAAATCGGAATTGAAATTAATCTTATATAATATTTATCGGGCCTTAAAAATACAGTTGTATTATGTACACAATGTAGGCTGCGTTCCAATATATACTATCAGTGCTAAAAATCTGTAATATACATAAAGTACAGATTTTTAACTAATAGTTATATCGATACGAAGCCATAGTAGCACTTTTTCCTTACGTCCAATGCCATTTTGAGTAACAATAATATATTATCAATAAATGAATACGGCATTACACATACATAATGTAACTCTTTTTTTACTCTGTCCAATAAAAAGAGATAGACACTTATAGTATTTACATTACTAACATGTCGACTTATATAGAAAATTGTACATATACACAGTGCGACAAATATGTTCCCGGACAGGGCCTGAAAATCATAATTGAAACAACAATATGCATATTTTTTGGTTTTATTATTCAAAATATTCTCCTCTGGCTTCAATACACTTGTTACAGCGATTCAATAGTGATTCAAATGCATGTTCTAGCTCAGTTTGCGGAATTACCTCTAGTGCCTGTGTAGAAACTGATTGGATGGTCGGAATGTCATCAAAAAAGCGTCCTTTCAATTTCAATTTCAATTTTGGGAATAATGAGAAGTCGCAGGGGGCCAAATCAGGTGAATACGGTGGATGGTTTAACACAGAGACACGATTTCGAGCCAAACATTGGCGGACAATCAATGAAGTGTGATTCGGTGCATTATCATGTAACAAAGATCAATCTTCTGGATCACGATATTCGGGGCGAATACGATGAATTCTGCCCATCAATCGCTTTAAAACTTCGAGATAATATGCACCAGTAATTGTTTGGCCAGTTGGAACAAACTCTTTGTGGATAATACCTTTGCTATCAAAGAATGTGATAAGCATTGTCTTGATTTTTGATGAAACTTTTCGTATTTTTTTTGTTTGTGGTGAATTTTTTGACTTCCATTTCGCATTGTGACGCTTAGTTTTTTCTGGATCATATTGAAAGCACCATGTTTCATCACCCGTAACAATTGATTTTAGGAAGTTTGGATTATTTTCTGAGGCTGCAACGATGTCTCTGGAATAATTGATTCTCGCTGATTTTTGATCGCTTCTTAAT